AAAACTAAAAGTGATTTTAGAGACCCTTTAGACCAGCCCGCTCATTTTACAAATTTTAAGGTCATGAAAAAAAGGCTGGATGGGGTATCTTTTGTCTACAGAAGGTGAACAGTTCACTTTCTACCTCTGCTTGCATATTTAGGTAAAATGAAAGGTTTTGAATGGGTTTGAGACATTGCCTAAAAATATAATTGACAGGCCTTAGACCACATCTTCCTGTAGTTGAGTCCTCTACATGGAGACTAATAGGGGTACTGTTGTCCATCTCTGCTTACCAGGCAGTCTTTCTTACTCCCTTTCTCCCTCCATCTCTTTCCTTCCTCTCTCTCTCTCTCTCTCTCTCTCTCTCTCTCTCTCTCTCACACACACACACACACACACACACACACACACACAAACTCACACAGACAGGCTACTGTGTCTTATCTGCTACTATGTGGCATTTTAACTATTTGTATTTGTTATACTCCAGTGACAGATATTCCTAAGGAAGCTGCAGATCCAAAGAAGAGCAGCAATTATGTCTAAAGTGACAATGTGGAGTGAAAAGAACTGGATGTTCATGTTCAAGGTTCAACTCTGCCCTGATTTCTGGCCTCTGAACAGGAGCCAAACTGTCCTTCCTGAGACAGTACAAATTGAGAAACAATTATACTTAATGTAAACTTCTCCACTGAGCCTGTCAGCCTCCAGTACAACCAGGTGTCTCTGATTTAATTACTCAATAATTAGGGAGGGCTGAGAAAGGATTTTCATAGCTAACAGTGTTTTAGGGCTATATCAACTTCCATAAGAAGAATACAATTTTTAAGCATTAGTTTATAAATATCATACTTCTTCTTTTATTTTCTTATTGGTTTTCAAAGAGCGTCCTTCAGAGACTAGTAGATGGTTGAAGTTGGTTAAAAAAGGAATTTTTTTCTATCCTAAAAAATAATTTTAGATATAGTCATGCATGGAAATGACTTGCAAACTTAGGACAGCTCTCTATATGCTAAATAAGAACATTTTAAATATTTAATTCAGAGCTATTTGTAAATACTTCACAGGTTTCAGGTCATTGACTATTTGCATTCATTGCAGAAAGTTGTGTTTTTACATATAAATCCCAATAATCTTTTGCCATAAATACGTATGAAAATATATGTCAGGCTAGATTCTATCACATTTATTTTTCTTTTCTTAGAGGGGAAAAACTCTGTTTTTGTAGTTCACATCAATTTACTTTATAACCTAGTTCTTTTGTCAGTGGAATCATCTGTCAGGGAGGGTTGAATTTAGAAGCTCTTTCTGATGATAGGTATCTTTTTAAAATGCTATATAAATGCTATGGTAAATCCTTTTTTTAGATAGCGTTGCCTGAGCTGGTTTTCATTTGCTGACGATTGTGTTGTGGTTGTTGTTTGTGGTCAGGTATTTTCACTCTTTGGTTTTAAACACAACTTTCTGACTACCTTTCTTGTTAATAATGGCAGGAATAAGATCAACCCAGTGGGATTATTCCTCATCTTGTGCTCCACGACTTGTATTGAGCCTAGTGATCTTTGTATCAACCTGTCTGACCACCTTGGGAGTGACACAGAACACATTTTCCTTATGGCTTTCTGGTTTTGACAGCAAGGCTTGCCTTGGCCAAGGATTAGGTCTGGCTCCCAAAGTCCACAGCAAACCTGATATAAATGAGAGCTTAGTACATAGGTAAATTGAGGACACCAGGTGCCAGGGAACAGCCTCAACTCTAAGAAACACAAATTTTGATTCTTATGTTCAGAATGAATGATCTGATAAAGACTAAGATTTGTCTTTTTGTTTTGTTTTCTATAACATTTTACATAAAACTCTCAAACTGAAAAGTTGATCTCATTTTCTTAGACCCTCTCTCATCTTTGCTCCTCTATCTCCATCATCTTTTGGATAAAAACTTATCTATGATTTTCTAAATCGTTTAGAAAATTAGCAGAGGCACTCAATAATCCTGGGCCACAGGAAGGCGGCTTGCATCCCTCCACATCTGTGCATGGGTTTTTCCTTTTCCAAAGAGTTTTCACTGTGTAACTATACTAAGGAGTGGCCAAGTTGTTCTGGAGATGAGTACTAGATTCTTTGATAGAGATTTTGTTTGATGTTGCCTTTCAATTTGTATGCTCATTTACAAACCATTTCCTAGTGCATATATCTGGCCCTATAAATTTACTGGGCAGTCATTGATGCAAAAATGGAACAGAGTGGTCAAAGAGTTTGGAGATCATCTAGTTTAGTTTGCGACCTTTACATTTGAGAAACTGGGGCCCAGAGATGAAGTAACTTGCACAAGCTCTCACAGCAAGAAGTGAAATAATCAAAGCCAGGATCTCCCTGTGCAGCTTTCACTGCTAAACATAGTCACCCACAACTGATTTATATGCCTTGCCTTTTTCAAGCTTTCCTTTGTTTCTGTTCAAACACTGAATTTTTCTTCTAACTTGCTTTCTAACATTTGAGAATCACACCCCATGGATCTCTTTGACCCGTTTCTTAAATTTCTTGGACTGAAACTGTTTTAGCACGAAGCCAGTGTTGGTCCAGGAATTCATAAATAAATGGGTCACTGGCTACCAGAACACCCTCCATCTTGTTTTTCCTATAATATACTTCACCACCTTCACCCCCAGTTAAAGCACACAGCCTAAGTTAATGTGTTCCTTGCTATAAAACCTTACAAGAACATTGTAGAGATTCCCAGACCAACCAGATTAAGTCTTAAGTTAGAGCATGGCCCAGAACGTGACAGCAATGTGTGTGTACATAGAGGAAGTCACATCAATACTCTGCTGAAAATGAAACAAGACAAGCACATTATAATACGTTAACTATGTAATAACATTTATTTAGTACCAGGATTGTCAAATTACCAGGAAATTCTGTTAGAAAAATTGCTACCTATCTATCATCCATCTACCCATTTATTCACCTACCTACCTACTGGTCTGTTTAACCTTCTTTCTGCTTCTAGAAAAGATTTGAGCAGCAGGCCCTAAGCAAACATCAGGGCAGACATATTAAAAATAGAATAGTCTTACTGATGAGATCATCAAACAAAACAGCAAAACACAAAAATGTTAACCTGATAATAATATTCATTTCATAAAACTCAGTAGTATATAAACAATATATTGTTAAAAGTTAAAATTTTTTACGTATGACCTTCTTTTCTTAAATATTAAGGTAATCCCTACTATTTTCTTCTAATGTCGCTCTGTCT